AGAGGCGTTACAAGTACGTTACCGGCCTTTTGGGGATTAGGAGTTTGAGGATCGTTGGGGATTCAGGAATTGGGGAGATTGGGGAAGGGGGGGAGGGAAATTGAGCCTCCGGTAACTTCACTCACACGACGAAATACAACGCAAGCGTTGCTTCACGTCGGTTTTCTGCGAGGCCGTGGTATCATTCCGGTCGAGCCGGCCCATTCGTGCCGAAGCATGGCTCTCCCACATTTATGAAAGATGGGACAATTGTAGCACTGTCTGATAAAAATGAATTTTTTAAACTGGAATCTCTTCTCTCGCCAAGCGCGCCAAACTCACCTGATCCTAGGTGGAGGCCTGGAGCCCAGCAGTGAACTGTTACGGGCGACATTGAATATGTTAATTCCAAAATGGCTGGCAACCGGTTACTGTCAATATTTTCCACGAAAACCTATTTAAATCTCACCGAGTATCAAAGTACTGGAAGTGACATCATTAAGCACGGATACAAGGATGGATGGAAACAGTTCAAACGTCTAATTTGTGCAAATATTGAGACAGTATTTAATTATATTTCTTAGAAACAAGTGCGCTCTCGACAGTCGCTTCTAGTTCTTTGATACATTGTATTTTATAGTTCGAAAACGTTTGAAGTTTGACAATAAAATTGTGACTTTATCGTTTTAGATATAGAATTCTTTTTGTTTTGGCGTTATGAAGAAGATCTCCGGTATTATACGTTTTCATTATTAGCTTCTTTGCCTTGTTTCTTAGGTTGCAAGGATCAATGTTTTAATGTTATTACTATCATTTTCTGCAAACAATCTCCAAAATTGTTCAAAGGAAATGTAAATTACGACTCTGAAATTACACTATGTACTACACTGAGATAAAAGGCTAATATGCTAAAGTGATGCTTATGTTGTCAAGTTATAGGAATAATATCACATAGCACCTGTTTGTCCAAGTATTTATTTCAATCAATTGCAAACACTATTAATACGTCGAAATAGATTAATTGTCAGTGAAGGTAGGTGGTAAGTCAAAGGTAATGGAGATTATAATACAATCACAAATAATGAAAAACATTCTGCACATAATACAACATTTCAACATGGTAATTATGTAGGGCTGTCGTTGAGGATGCAAAATGAACCGAAACGAATTTACTTATACGTTTAATTAAGTAATTAGTGTTATTTTTTTATGGCATAAGCCAGTAAACGAGCAGACGGATCACCTGATGGTAAGCAATCGTCGTCACCCATGGACACCTGGAACACCAGAGGCGTTACAAGTGCGTCACCGACTTTTTGGGGATTAGGAGTTTGAGGATCGTTGGGGATTCAGGGATTGGGGAGATTGGGGAAGGGGAAGGTAATTGGGTCTCCGGTAACCTAACTTACACGACGAAACAACGCAAGCCGGCAAGCGTTGCTTCACGTCGGTTTTCTGTGAGGTCGTGGTATCACTCCGGTCGAGCCGGCCCATTCATGGCCATTCATGCAATCTATTCGATGTGAGAACAAAAAGTGAAACTCTAAAGTCTAAATTATAATTGAATTAAATCAAACGATGTAATGCAATCGGTGAATCACAGGTTAGTCCCCGTGGTATGATATTTCTTGGTAGCGCTCAGCGTTCGGGACGTTTTGCACAACAAGGCAGGGATGGTGGTAGCTTCAAAGAACGGATTGCAGTGAATCATACATAGTGTAATTATTTCTTATCATGGTACTAAACGAAACATTAACATAACACACAATCAAAAGTAAACTTTATACTTTTGTATTTAGGACGCAACTCACTAATCAACAAACATAACTTAAAACATTTTCGAATCACAATTGAACACGCGTTACAATCGTATCAAACAACAATATGATATGATCCCTTTTATCTGAGGACACAAAAACCTCTGTCACGCCAGATGGAAAACTCGAATGGCTGACACCAAAAAAGCGGCCATTTCTATAGAAATCCTATCAATATCTATGTAACAATACGATTTATTTCAACCCCATAAATCGTGGTACTTTTCAAAAACGGTCATAACCGAAGGATTCCTAATATTTGGCGTGTTCAAAGCATTTTGAGTGTTGGAATTTTATCAAAGGAATCAATGGCGGTTTGTATTTGGTGGCCTTGTTATATGTATTATGTCAATTTACTACCGCGTTTAATGGTTGTGACGTCAATAAAGTATTTAGTGTAATAATTGCTTTTAAAATTCACTTTTATTTTTATGAGTGTCCAAACTACGTCACTTGGTGCCAGAAACATGAATGGCTTTAATATATTTCTATGAAGAACTATAAAACGGCATATTATTGTTATTTCATATCTAGTATGATACAGTGTGAAATTATAACAAAATAATACAAGGAAAAATATAACTAGAAAGTTGACTTCAGTAGAATAAGATACCAATATTTGTAAAAAATTGGAATCAAAACACTAAAGATTACTAATCAAATAAATACGAATGCTTGAACAAAATAATATCATTACGTCATAAAGAATCTCCAGATTTTCGGTACAAAATTGGGAATATAACAAAACCAACGACCGTACATCTAAATCCCTGAAACTGGAAATATCTTATCGATAAAAAGAATCGAGAAAAAGAAACGAAAGTAACCTATCCAAATCGCAACCCGAGAAATATGAGCGAACGAGAAATTCCAACGTTATTTTATGTAGAATTTCAGTTTCAATTGGGATTTTCATACAAATCATTCGGTTAGTCACCCGGAACGGTCGCACTTCGAAATAAACGATCCATAAAGTATCAAAATATTATCTAAGTTATCGGGAAATAAAGGGGGAGATAGTGAATATAATTTGACGCTATAAAAACTTCTTCGAAGTGGAAAGTTCTGGATCTACGATTGGATCACTATTGGAGAAGTTTTCTTGGATTTCTTTATAGGATCTTGTTTCAATTAAAAGCAAATAAAAGAGCGGCTAGTGTTACTGGTAGCAATCGATGTATATTTAATTATTCTCTGTAATTGAATTTTGATTACTGTTTCATTGATCTAGTGAGTTTTGTTGTAAGTAAGAAGCTGATGTTTCGTGGGCGTTGTTGTGAAGTTTTATTCCAAAATCGTCAACATTATGGGGAATTCTACTATAATTTATTTCAAAATTGACTTTGTCTTCAATTACCTTTACTATGAATTTCCAAATCACAAACTACAGTATTGTAACTAATTTTAAATTACACTTACTTTTGGACAGAAGAAAATCTGAAAAAAAAGCATAAAATCTCATAAACAAACATAAAATCAACAAGAAAAATTACCAACACTTAACTCACAAGCAAAAAAACGGACACAACCTTCATAAATGTACTTTATAACTTAGCCAAAAACCCATACAAAAATCCCATAAGCTAGCAACAAACCCCATGCCTTGTAGCCGGGAAACTCCAATTTATTACAATGAATAATGCAAGCCCAAACCGTTCCCCGAGCCGGTCCGCCATCTTTCCATTCCTTATTATTTTAAGAGATTTCTACAACGGCGTGCCGGACCGGGCCTTATACGGCACTTTCCGCTGACACGAATTTTAGTGACGCAAGTTATATAGGTAGCTGTTATAAGTTAGTTTTTGTCTGCGACGTCGTCTGCGTGGGTTTTGTGTGCCTGTGGAGAGAATATAATAAAATTTCGTCTTTATTATTTGTCTTTTCTGTTTTTAATATCGTCTCAGCGGATATTTTGCAATTTTGAAGTAGGGCGTTACAGAATAAACGTCCGTTTTGATTATTTTCTGTAACTCCCACAAAATACCAGAAAATATAAGATGTTTTACAGTTTTTCTGTCAATAGTTTGTATATTCCGTGTGTCAGTTTGGACAAACCATTTTATGTCATAGATTGAACGCACAATGTCCCGGTTATTCGAATAGTCATATTTCATAAGTCATATTCGTTAGTCGTCAGTCATAAAGTTATGGATAGCCGCTCGAGACACATTTTCCAAAGGCAATGGAGTTTGGAAGATCAAGGAGTAGCTCTAGGGATTAATAAGGACATAAGGAAGTTTGTTGAAACTAAATATTTCTGCTAAAAAAGCTAAGAGAGACGTTACGGCTTATCGTGCACTCGTCTTTTGTTATGGGGGAGGTTTCCTGAACATATTTTTGGGATATTTAATTTCCACCATAGCATGGATAAACAAGATTGACAAGATATAGGCAAGCAACGTACCATGAAGCAATTCGTATTCTTAGGAGGGATAATCATACTTCTAGAAGTAAACACTTTATAAATCGAAAAGCCTAGTTATGATTTGCTCAAATAAGACAAAATGGACTAGCATCCAATTCATTATGATGTCTTCAGTAGCCTTTTTAGAATTCGACCAAATAATACCTATGATACGTTTGAAGTCAGCTTTATGATAGTAAGTATCAAGTTCTTCGAAGTTCCGTTCACGAAGAAGTTATACCGAAGCCCGATAATGTCTTCGGAGGCTAATTACTGCCTCGGCGATTGAAACAATTATATTACGGCTATTGCAACAACTGATTGCATAATAAACGGTGGAGAAATGTTATTACAAGATTGGTTTATAGCGTCAGCCATTACTATTACTACGGCCATAATTAACTGTGATTCACAAACATAATTGTTTCCTTTACAGTGTTGAGTTAATTTAGTATTACGAACTTTAGTTTCTGCTTCCGAGTTTTGTAATGTTGATATTATGATTATTATCATTTTCGAATATTTAATCCTATAATAAACAAAATAGTAAAAAATACTCTTATAACATCATTTGTCACTAATCTTCCTACGGGTGTTATCATCGTTGTAACAATTTCATCTTTTTTTTTCGTCGTTTCTTCGTTTCGTCGTTGCTCAGGATCTTGCTTCCGTAGACTCTCAATAGCATACATCCATCGGTTAACTGCAATTGTTTTTAATAATAAAAATATTCATCAAATAATCAAGTAGACCTATACAAAAATACCAAAGTATTAACTGATTCTTCTGCTTCTTTCCAGGTTGACAACGACGATAAATTAAAGACACCATAGAAGGTAAGATAAAATAAATAAAGAATACATGGTTACAATGCTCAAGATATTTATTCCTGGCTTTTGTATATGTTGTCCATACATCTCAATTGATGTTAGTACCTCATACACTTCCTTCCTCCTTTCTTTTGCCTTATTCCTGATACACTTACTCTTTTTGTTTTCCTTACCATATTGTGTCTCTTAATGTTATTATATTATGTGCCATGGAGATTGGTGATTCCTTGGGTAATTTTGTCTTGTTTTGTTTTTTGTTAAGTGAAAACCTTGGATGTGCTTTGCAAAATAACACTTTGTGGTTACGCAAACAAAAACTAAGTTCAATGTGAGTTTCGTTTTAATGATAATTTTTGATACTTTTTACAATGTTTTTTTTTAAACGGTAACGAGCAGACGGATTGCCTTGTTGTAAGCAATCGACGCTGCCCATGGACACCCGGAACACCAAAGGTGGTGCAAGTACATTGCCAGCGTTTTAAGGATTAGGAACTTAATGTTTGGATTTACTTCTTCCGTACGCTAAAATATGTGTCATGTTACATCATAATATTTTCCATCTCAATATAACATTCGACAATGTCATCTATTCAAAACTTAACTCATCTTCGCAAATCCATGCAAGTCTAAATTCTTGAAAAAACTTTTCCCATTCCTTCCATCTTTGGGCTCAGTTCGAACTCCATGATCTACCATTAACGAAGGCTCAACGATCCTTGAACTATGTTCTAAAGCTTTAATGGCTCGAGAAATAAGTTCACGTGTAATTGGTTCAGGCATTTTTGGCCTGAAACAATTTTGGGCTTCATGCGCCCACGGAGAGAGCATTGGCTATCTAAAATTGTATCTTATAAGATTTATTTCAGGTTATTTTCTTTTTCGATACGATTATGTAATTTTTCGGTTGAGCAGTTTTATGAGCTGTAAAGGCTATTTTTGGACGTTTTTGCTTGGTAGCAAAAAGAGGTTCATAATGCTTGGAGACTTAGGGTTTCTTATATTTTCCACAGAATCATTTTTTTACTTCGTTGCCCAAAACGTAACAAAACAAGACTTGACTTTCAATCTAATTTAAACCCTCTCGTACACCGTGCACGTCTCAAGATCTCAATAACGACTTATCAAAAAGCAATAAATGTTGTCCAATGACTTCTAAGTGACCTACAAATGAAGTCAGAGTTGAGTATTGACCCGTGGAGCCATACGTCTCACCTGGTACCCTTGCTCTTGACTTACCCTACAGCTGAATGACCCTAAACCTTTACTCAGAAATCGACGTACTAATACATAAACAACTAAAGTAGTTAGTTCAGGTCACGACGTGCGAAGATTGTTAAACGGAACGTATAGCTCTGGTACAAATATTTATTTGATATTTGTTTTGTTACTAAGCGATTTTCTTGTTGGTTTTTGTACGTGATGGTTTAGGTGTGCTGTGGTTTGGAATTGGACAGTATGATCGTAAGGTATGTGCTATGGTCCTGGATCTTGGGGTGGGCATAAAATGTGAATTGTCAAATAGCGGTATTGACTTTTTATTGGGTACATAGATTTTGACATTGAAAAAAGGTACTGTCTTTAGAAGAGTTGGTATTTCAGGTGTTCATGGACACCGGTGGATCTGGAAAGTGTGCTGTATCACTATTACTACATAATTATAATATATAATATTAAAATGAGTACCACAGTTACACTTATCTATAACATCATTCACAAAAACGTTACTCAATTAATTAATTTAATACCAAATCTATAAACCTCTGCAAGGTTTCAGAAATCGCCTACAGAAGCATGGAAATTTTAATTAAATTTTAATCTGCAAGCAGGAGAATTATGGCGATTACTGCAAAAACTGATTTCAACGAGAGACATCGAGCTGTGACGTAATTTTCATGTTTGTAGTTGAATAATATTTCAGATTCATGAGTTATACCCTTGGGGGAAATTGCTGTTGCATTCATAAAGAATACTCGTTGTGTACTATATATATAAAGAGTGTATTGTACTGTACTGACTGGCTATTTGTCATATTCGAGAATGTTCTTGAAACATGGAAATGGAACGGGGAATCAAGTTGTGGTTTGTTAATGATTTAATTAAATGTATCTCACTTTTTGGGGTTAAAGCTTCACAATTGTTAAAACAGATATCTAGGCAATAAACATTGCATTTTACAGATACCTTCAATAAAAAACTCAGCTAGTATGTATATTGTGTAATACATAATAAACCCTGAATTAATTATGCCCTTCTAATAACATGGTACAAGGGTGCCCTTTCTCTAACAACAACAAAGTCACCATAAAACATCCCCAAGTATGCTTTGATATAAGTCAGCACCTAACATTAATAACGATGAACAAATAATTACGACATAGACATCTAAATAAAAGAGCAAAGCGCATTCAGAAACTTTTGTGTAACAAGACAACAGACTCCTCACGTGAACACTCGAAAATGTATAACAAGAAATTTCTGATACTGTTACAAAACATTTCTTCGAGAACAAGTTCAAACTCTGTTCATAATTAACATGTTCAAACAAGTGCTCACGTTGCCATTCCTCTCATTGGACCGAGCTAAAAAAACAAACACTGGAGAATTATTTTGAAAGGAAAACATTCCATGTAAAGTAAATATACCAACGTAAGTACATACGCATATATTTTCTTTATGTATAATGCGAGAAAACTCGCGTCGAACAGTTTGGTAAGGACATTTGCTTTCAGCATTATGGCGTCACAACCCTATGTTTTCTTGTCAACGAAAATCTCATTTTATATATTTTAGGGAGATACGAAACTTGATTTTATTACGTGATCAAAATATTGCGCATCTTCCACTGACATTTCCTTGTTTGGAACACAATTTTCTAAACAGTATCAGTGTACTTTGGCTCCAGTGATAAAATCAATTTGTGGTAGTTTGTGTTTATATTACTAACTGTGATTAGGGTTTTAGTGAATTTAAAATTTAGTGGCTATGGATCACATTATAGAGGTACATACATAGAATCGAGAAGTACCTATTCGATGTATATTTTTAATCGATTAAGTAGTAAATTGTATGTAAACTGATAATAATGATTATAGAAGATTTTCCTTTTCCATTTCCTGACTGCTTCAATGGCTGAGTGAGTCACACTGTCGGACAAGGGGTCTCGGGTTTGATTCCCGGGTAGCGCAAAGTACTGCTGGGTTTTAAAAAAAATCTCAGTACTAGCACGGAGTCTGATATTGTGCCCGGTATATGGCAATACGCTCACCCCCTATTACATGGGAATCATAGCATACATTGTGAAAAGTGGGTGTTACATTGTGCAGTGGCATTAAGTGCCGTAATGTGCAAGGCGTGGTGTTATTTTATGTTATGTAACTTTTTCCTTTAACATAATATAATCTGTAGTTACTATGTAATTCAATATAAACACGATATCAGAATTGTTGAAGAAACAAGACCAAAGTGAACAATATAAATGATTGATAGCCTTTTCGTTTTGCCCGAAAATACACCTTATAGTAAAGGAGATAGAGACCATACATAAGTAACAGAAATTATAAGCAATTGATCTGAAATCTTAATTTACTATCTACTCGAAATCTCTCTGTTTATATTCTAAGAACATTCGAATCCTCTCCATACCGCTTTTACAATTCAAGGACAATAATCAAAATATTATATTCTAGAAATTGGGTCTTGGAACTAAGGTCCTAGGATTTGGAAATTAACATCAGGACCTTTGGGTCTAAGACTTTGGGAACTAAATAACGAAGTTAGGTGTCCTGGCATAAGTTCTGTCGTCCTGTAATTGTATGGAACACAAACTTATAATGGATTTAGCTGAATGTCTTTACGTGTGTTTGGAATAGCAAGAGGTTGTATTGATTGGAATTTTGGTAATTTAACGTCAGACGTTGTCATCGAGGGCCTAACTTAATTACTATTGGTCAGGTGGAAATAAGTGACTTAGTTGTCAACTTTTCTTCGAATGTGCTAGATTTTACTGTTCCATAATACTAGTTTGTCCATGGTTTAAGTTTTGTCTTATAGTCTCTAGTGGTTTCAAAGATTATTAGGTAGTTGGAAATCGGTAGAATGGGTATTAACTGGAGGACATAACATACATACTTAAATTAACGCCTGTCTCCCCTGGCAGAAACTATAGACTTGTAAAATATAGTAGTTTTTATATATAACATTATCTGACTGACCTTTTTTATAAAGATTTCTTTATGTTTTCTTTGGAGTGTTTAATATAATAATGGACGATATCTAAAACATAATTAAAATTTCTGTTTTAAAATACCTAAACCAAAAGAATAACATTATTATTTTAACTTGACCAGTTTTAAGAATAAGATATAAAATGCAGGACTCAAACTAAAGCCTAGAGAAAATCTTCAAGCAAATTCTGCAAGCGACGTCTGAGTCGCATTGTCAGTAATTTATAACAATTCACGGCAAGACCTCAGCCTGTCAGAAGTTAATGTTGATGAATTGAACAATACTGTAAGGCTATATCCAAGAATTAACTCTTAAACGTAAATTAGAGAGCCGAATGTAAGATTTGTATCTGATTGTAAATTGTACAATGTACAAAAAGACACGTACAATCTAGTAGACGATAACAAAGTCCATACAGATTGTGATTAGGTGAAATAATTTCAATATTAAAATGTTGTTGATAAATCTGAGTAAAAACTTGATGTTTATAATTTATGATGGCTTCATCAGTTTACGAATCAAAGTACTTAATCATGCCTCTACCTCTATTTTCAGTCTTTAAACTGTCAAACACCAAGCGGTCACCGGTGACCGCAACCTATTGTTCTATAATTGTGTCTATAATGACGGTACTCGACGAATAAAGATTTTTGGCATTCTTGTCAAAAATCTTTATTTCTGTCGAATAATAAATTTTCATTGTGATTAAAACGTAAATGACAAAGTCATAGCGTTTATAACAATAAACCCTTAATTAGGCATTTTTTAAACGTCTAATTGTA